TACTAGAACAATCGTGTGTGACATTGTCCATATTTAAGTAGTTTTTTTAAAAATATTTTGCCATCCTTACTCTGTAGACTTTTAAAGAAAAATACACACTTAAAACCTTCATTTTTGACTCCTCCCCATACAAGGACACCCACTGGTAACACTGGTCCCAACAGGTTCCTCAAGGTGACAAGTGATGAGATTCAGGGCAGAAGCTGGCTGTGGGTGGTCACTACCACCAGCAATGGTAATAGCTGGCACTTACTGGTTCTCAGCGTGTGCCTGATACTGTTCTCCTCTTTGCATATATCAACTCACTGAATTCTCAGAACAACCCTTTGCTATTAACAACCAGTTTATACACAGTAATCTAATGTGCCCAAATTCACATAGTGAGTAGGAAGCAGAGCCAGAATTGGAAATCAGGCACTCTGGCTTTAAAGTTCATGGATAACAGCTCTATGTTATCCTGTCTTAGGAGTGTTCAAGAGTAGTGAGTTTTGTTTTTCCTCTTCTTCAATGAGTTCCACCATTTAATATATATATTATTATACAGCCTCCAATTACTCATTGAAAAAATTCCCCTGCATCTGGACCTATAGGCCCCACTTTGTTTTTGCTTGCTTATTCTTCCATTCTGCTGCTCGAACCGGAAATTATTTTCCTTCATATAGCATTTTGAGCTAGATTTAAAAATTTTAATATCCAGAAGGTTTTAAGCTAGAAATATCTTTCTACTGTAATGATTTTATTTACTGTTTTACAAACTTTATACTAACTTAATGTACCCTCCAAATAACTATAAAGTTTTATGTTCTTCTATAAAATGACGATAAATACCTTTTGTATTTGTAGTTTCTAGAAACCTTTCAGGATGACAGGATTCTCTTAAATGACTAATTACCCCAAATCTGATGCCTGCAAAATACTCTTCAGCAAGCAGCTGGCTTTGTATGAAGAGAGGCTAAGAGCTCTTTTTGTCTTGTTCATTTAAAATCATTTGCTTCTTATTTAATATCTTCAAAGAATGCAGTCCCATCACAGCAGAATTTGATGTTGTGAATTTTGGATTGTTTCCACGGGCTCCGCCTTGCATCTGCATGGTGTTTAAAGCCAATGCTTCCTTTCTTTTTGTAGGCACGCAGGGCCTATTGCCTCATAATCCGATGTCATGCTGAATGACAGAAAATTGAAGTTGAATTTATCTAACCATAGAGAAGGACTGCACAGAACAATGCACTTATTTAAGAACTCCTTGCCTCAGGAGCTGAAGGAGCTGTCTAGAGCAGGTGGCTTAATCTCCCCACTGCTTATCCTAACCGTGTTCCTTTATTTACTGAGGACAGGCACTGGGCACTCACTTCCCAAAACAAAAGGACCCTACTGGTCTACCAGAACCAATTATAAACCAATAGGATTTTTACGCTGCATTCAGAAGAGTTAAGATATGGCCTATGTATTTTAAAAACAAGTCTTAGTCCTCCTTCATTAGAGAAAATATAACCAAAAGTGAAATAACAGCTGTGGAAAATATATTCACCAACTCCTAATTGGTGAATATACTGGTGGATTGCTTACATTATGGATTGTTCATAATGAATAACTTTTTTCTTCATTTCTCTGTGATATCTTGTCAGCTTATAGAATATGATTTATTTGTTGGCATTATTTGTATTTCCTGTTTCTATTTACTTCACATGACAGCCTTCAGAGTTTTCTGAGTTTTGAAGTAAAACATTTACAGTATTTGCTGTCCTTACTTTTTCTCAGAGTTGCTGTGAATAATCTGAAGGAAGTGGCTTCTCTACTCACTGGGTACTGCTAATTAGAGACTAAGCTGTCTATGTTTATCTTGAAATAGGGAGAAAGGGAGATACAGGTGGGTTTGAAGAAAGAGTAACTCTAGAGTCTAATACTAGTTTTTCCCTCCTTGAGTTGGGTATGATTGTGTAGTTTATTTTCCATTAAGCTCAGGAAATGTTGGAACTGTGATGCCCAAGCACATTCAAATATGAACCTAATGATACTTCCAATGCGATAAAAATGGTTTTGGATGAGCTGCCACTTTTTACAGTCTAATATTCTAATTATCAGGTAGTTGAGAATTAATTGCATAAAATTCACATGTCAAGTGTCAATTCTTTGGAACTTATTTTTAAGATAATCAGTTTTCCCTGTTAACAATAGCTGCAGTTAGAAGTAACCACAGAAACTCGGTCACATGGGTTCAGACCTGTGCTTGTTTGTTTAAGATTATATCCTGCCAGAAGCACCGAGGAACATTTCGTAGGAAGTCAAAATTGTTCTCTCTGATGTTTGTCTCATAAAGTTGGTCATCACGACACCATCTTGTCTTTTTTTTACACCGTCTTGTAAAACTTACAGGGATTAATTATAATATGTTAGTTTTTAAACTTTCAAAAATTAAAATCTAAACCACCTCTTGGAGTTAGAAATTTGACTGATTTACTGTGTATCTTATATAAAATAATACTTTTCATTTGTCTTAAATATACCTCTCTAAAGCTTCTGGGGTGTGCTAAGTAAGTCTGCACCCACCGTGCCCACACCTTCATGGGAGTGCCCTCCCAGCTCTCCTAACTTGCGTCAGTGTAAGAGAGCTAGACAGATAAGGGCTGTGAGATGAGGTCAGCCTGAGTTTGAACCATGGGGTCACTTGTAACCAGCTGTGTGACCTTTGGTAAGTTAATCACTCTGATCCTACACTGGTGAAAATAACACATGTGACTGTTTTTAGGGATGTTGTGGCCGTGAGTGGAATGGTGCAGGAGAAAGCACTCTGCACAGAGCCGGGACTTGGCACACTGCCGGCCAGTGTTGACTTCCTTCCCTGCTTATTCTCCAGAGGGTGGGTCAACATCTTCTAACTTAATAACAAAGAATCACAGTATGCAACGTTTATGAGATCTCCTTGTTTCTAAACTGGGGTTATACTCAAAAGTAAATTTTCTATGTGTATGTTATTTTATCTTTTCTTTCATATGATGTTATCCCTTGATAAATGGAAAAAATGTAGCCCACAAAATTATCTACCAAGTAGGTCCATATTGAATCTTTTTAAAATTTTATCTTTATTGTTTACGTTGTTACAGTCCTGCTTTTTCTCCCTTTCCTTACCTTTACCCAGCCCCACTCTCTCCCCTCTCCAAGCCAATCCCCATGTTGTTGTCCTTGGCCATGGGCGCTACATAAATGTTCTTTGGTTAATCCCTTCATCTTTCATCTCATTCCCCCTCACCCTTTCTGGCATCTGTCAGTCTGTTTTGTGTATCTAAGCTTCTGTTACTATTTTGTTCATTAGCATATTGTGTTCATTAGATCCCACATATAGGTGGAATGATATGGTATCTGTTTATCACTGACTGGCTTAATTCACTTGGCATAATTTTCTCCAGGTCCATCCATGCTGTTGCAAAATGTACGAGGTTCTCTTTTTTTACTGCTGTGTAGTATTCCATTGTGTAAATGTACCACAGCCTTTTATCCACTCATCTTATTTCAAGGGGCCGTCCTCTCAAGTTTATTGCTTTGGGAGAGTTTAAAATCTTTTTGCCTGAAGGATAATGCAGTTACTCATTATAAGATACCAGGCAGGAGAATTGGAGAGGCCTCATGTTTTCCTCATCGGAAAAATGGGACAGTTAGCACTTACAAGGCAGTTCCAGGGATAAAATTAAATAATGTCTGTGAAAGTACTGGATAAACATAAAATTTATGCCACTATCTGATAAATTTTTTAAACCATTTTCTCTTTTTTTTAAGATTTATTTATTTATTTTTAGAGAGGGAAGGGGGGGAGAGAGAGAGAGAGAGAGAGAGAGAGAGAGAGAAAGAGAGAGAGAGAAACATCATTGTGCATTTGCTGGGGATCATGGCCTGCAACCCAGGCATGTACCCTGACTGGGAATCGAACCTGCAACACTTTGGTTCGCAGCCCGAGCTCAATCCACTGAGCTATGCCAGCCAGGGCTAATAAATTCTAATTAAAACATTTGTTTAGAGTGAATTTATTTTCTGATTTAAGAAGATGGCTCTTCTTCATAAAACAAAGTTAAGAAGGCAGATTGAAGAGCGTGTATATGTATATATGTATATATATATATATATATATATATATATATGTGTGTGTGTGTGTGTGTAGTATTTGTATGCATGCATAAAAATATGTCACTAAAACATCAGAAAACTGTAACAGGAATTTATAATTCTAGTGTTTGAAATTTTTTTTTTGTAGAAACCAGTTAGTCAGCCCCTCTGTTTACGGATTTCTTTTCACCGTATTCCCCAGAAGAGTGCCAAGAAGGACTGTCACTGGGCTGGGGTTCCCACCGCAGTTCCCACACACAGGCTGATGGCGGGACTCAGATAACTCAAGCGTTTGTTCTTTCCGCGTTGGTTTCAGTTCTGCATCCACACATGGTACACATGGCTGTTTGAGTAATCTTCCTTAAACACTGTTTGAATCCCACAGTTAAGACTCCATGGAAGCCAATTTCTTGCTTGCATTTTCTTGGCTTTGAAAGTCTATTAGACGCTACCCAGAATTAACAAATTCTTTACCTGGAGCCTTGCACGTGGTTTGTCTATTTCAGTTCTACCAGGAGACCTCAGCAATGCTTTTCAGTTCCAGGCCCCAGGAGATAGCTTAGGCAGTCAAGTGTTTCACAAGTGAACCACATAATCATATGTGTGTTAGCTACATAAACTTCCTCTGGAAACAGTAGTAAAACTTAGCCTATTAGCTATTTGAAAATTAGCATGACGTTAGGGGTGAAAAGAAGCTAATAAGTTGGATCTGTCCAAACCTATTAGTTCCATGGGGTTTCGGAGTAGGACAAGCTGTGTATGATCATCCAGGCAAAGAGGAATAAACATTTGCAGCATTCTTCTGGAGCTAAGCAGTGGCAATTCCAAAACCACATGGTTTATACTATGTAACTATCTGGGCACTTAAAATTTTCTAATCAGGTGAATATATTGTATCATTTCAGATTTACAATCTCAAGTAGAGGCACTTGGGTTAAAACTTCAGAAGGCAGTGACCCAGCTGGACAGCTGTAAAGAAGAGCTCAAGTAAGATGGTGAACATTAACCACCCTGTAGGAATTTAGAAAGACCCCTGATGTGCCGCTCTCTGGGAGTCCTTTGGCAGTGCCACGGCTGTGTGGGCATGGTCTACTGCTGTTTTTTTCCTGGCCTAGACCGTATATTGAAAGACCTGCAAATATTTTTAAAGACATGAAATGTTTCTTTTGCTCAGTAAGAAATCTTTTTTTACCATGTATTAAAACTTTCCCTGGCTGTTCAAATTAGTAATTTAATGTGAAACAGTCTCTGAACTTTTTCTCTTATGATTGTCTCTATGTTATCTGCCCAGAATAGACAACATTGATGCTGGTTCTTAAAATTACAGATTTCAGGTTCAAAAAGATAGTTGAAAAATTTTCAAATGCTGGTGTACTGATGTTTTATGTAAGTAATAAATGAAATACTGACAAACAAATGATAACAAAATGCCCTGTAAAACATGCAGAGCACTATTCTTTTTAAAAATGAAAGAATATAGGCACCCCTGTGTTCGTTGCAGTATTATTTACGGTAGCCAAGATCTGGAAGTAGACCAGTATGTCCAGCAGTCAACGAGTGGATAAAGAAACTGTGGTAAGCCCTGGCTGGCACAGCTCAGTGGATTGAGTGTGGGCTGCAAACCAAAGTGTCGCAGGTTCGATTCCCAGTCAGGGTACATGCCTGGGTTGCAGGCCATGACCCCCGGCAACCGCACATTGATGTTTCTTTCTCTCTCTCTATCTCCCTCCCTTCCCTTTCTAAAAATAAATGAATAAATCTTTAAAAAAAGAAGGATGTTTAAAAAAAAAGAAGCTGTGATACATTTATGCAATGGAATACTGTGCAGCTGTAAAACAGAAGGAAATCTTACCTCTTACAACATCATGAATGGACTTGGAGAGCATTATGCTAAGTGAAATAAGCCAGTCAGAGAAAGACAAATACCATATGATTTCATATATATGTGGAATCTAGTGAACAAAATAAATTAACAAATTAGAAACAGACTCATAGACATGGAGAACAGACTGACAGTTGTTAGCAGGGAGAGGGTTGGGGGACTTGGTGAAAAAGATGAAGTGATTAAGCAAAGAAACAAACAAAAGAAACCCCCAAAAAACCTCATAGAAAAAATATGGTAATTACCAGAGGGAAAGTGTGGGTGGAAAGAGGTGGAAGAAGGTAAAGGGTGGATAAATGGTGATGGAAGGAGACTTGAGGTGGTGAACACACAGTACAATATACAGGTGATATATTATAGAATTGTACACCTGAAACCTATATAATTTTACTAACCAATATCACCCCAATAAGTTCAATAAATAAAAAAAATCTTCAGAAAAATGAATTTCAGAAATTTCAAAAATTACAGTATAAATATAGCAAATTTGTATTATAACTCTAAAATAGATTTATATAGTCTTTTTAAAGTAAGTAAATTTTTTTACTTTGTGGTATATAATCTGGTAGATCTGGTTTTCAGTTCCTATATTTTAAAAGGATGAATCTCACAAGAAATATAAATATTTAGAATGCTTAGCAACCAAATGTTGTGTTGACCATGGACAACTTCTAAAAACAATGTGTTAAAACACTCAATAAAATGGGTTTAGAAGGAAAGTACCTCAACATAATAAACTCCATTTATGACAGACTTTCAACTAATATACCCAATGGTAAAAAACTGAAAGCATTTCCCTTCAGGTCTGGCACAAGACAGGGATGTCCACTTCCATCACTGTTACTCAACATAGGTCTGGGAGTCCTAGCTGGAGCAGTCAGGCAAAAGAAAGAAATAAAAGGCATCCAAATTGGGAATAAAGAAGTAAAAGTGTTACTTTTTGCAGATGGCACTATTCTTTATATAAAAACCCTAAAGACACCACCAAAAATCTGTTAGAAACAATAAACAAATACAGTCAAGTTGTAGGATACAAAAATCAATGTATAAAATCCACTGCATTCCTATATATATTAACAGTGAAATGTCAGAAATAGAAATGAAAAAAAAAAAAATTTCTTTTGCAATTGCAACAAAAAGAATAAAATACCTAGGAATAAACTCAATACAGGAACTAAGAAGTGTTACTAAAAGAGATTGAAAAAGACACAATGAAATGGAAAGATACTCCATGTTCATGGGTTGAAAGAATCAACATAGTTAAAATGTTCATATTACCTCAAGCAATATATAGATTTAATGCAATCCCCATTAATACAATGTTTTTTGCTACTTACCTTTTATTACCATATGTCAGCTCCTGTGCCTTTTACCATTTATTTCTTAATTTAATTAAAAAAATTTTAGTGTTGACAATTACAGTTGCATCCATTTCCCCCCAGTGCTCATTCCTGCCCTACCCACCCCCGACCTTCCACATCCAGTCCTCCCCCCACCGTTGCCTTTGTCTGTGGGTCCTTCATTCCTGTTCCTTGATGTGAGCCTTCCCCTTCTTTCCCCTGTTAGTGCCCTCCCTCCTCCCCTCTGGTCACTGTCAGTTTGTTCTTTATTTCCATGTCTCTGTTTCTATTTTGCTCACATGTTTGTTTTGTTGATTAAGTTCCACTTATAAGTGAGATCATATGATATTTGTCTTTCACTGCCTGGCTTATTTCACTTAGCATAATGTTCTCCAGTTCCATCCATTAATAAAACTCTTAACAACACAGGCAGAACAAATGTAAAAAAAATGCCCTATCAAATTAATGTACACTTGGATTATTTGTAGCCAAAAATTTGTTTTTGAAAAATAAGAAAAATCAAATATGCATGCTTTATAATTTTGTGGTTAGTGGCAGAGTAAGGACAGTAGTTCAGTTTCTGTGTATGGTGGCTAAGTTGGAAGGAATGAGTGGACGGGAGGTTCTTGGCTCAGTAGGTCCAGGAAGTAATTTTCTGTGTGAGAAGAAACATGAGAAAGAGAAACAAGATAGTGATTGCCAGGAACATAATCATTGTTCCCCACCCTCTAAGAACTTTGGTAAGGGCTTTGGCCACGCGGATGCCTCATGTGGAAGCGTCCTAGTCAGGCCACTGCTACTGTGTGACTTTAGCTTCTGGGACCTCAAAAGGTGAAGAGGGAACAGTCTAGGAATAGGAAGGTAGGGCTGGTTGTACCTACCAGCTAAAATGGATTTGTGAACGCACCAAAACTCAGTAGACAGAGAAGAGTCCTGACAAGTTAGCAGAGAAGCGAAGCCCAGAAGTAAGCATTCTAAGGAAAAGGAGTAAAACTTATTGGTTGTGACATGAATTGATTTTGTGAGTGTGCGCAGAATTCTCTCTATGTAGAAGGAACCTGCCCATGTAACATGCACACATGCTTCACGATACTTTCTGTTAATTGTATTTCTAACATAATTTATAATATGAGTGCTGAGAAATGGTAAGAGTCAGAGGAGATGAGAGTTGAAGGGAGAAATATACCACCTCACTAATGTCCATCGAATGAATTACTTGGAGGAAATCACTATACAACTGCACAAATGCTGATGCTGTTGTTTCCATTTATAAAACAGGTGCTCCCTGCCTATATAAGAACTTCTTAAAATTAGAAAATAGGCAGATACACATTTTTAGAAAATTTGAATTATCAAAGGTAGAGCCACTTAAGTGGCCCCAACTGCTGGAGACCGTCCTCTGTGCTGGCTGTTGGCAGCATTTCTGTCTCTACACCGTCTCCCTGCCTTCTTCCGCTGCTAGCGTGCAGCACCGCAGGGCAGGCACTCAGGGTCAGAGCCTGGGGCTGCTCGGGCCGCTCAGAGCTCAGGAGGTCCCCAGTAATGTGCACGTACTATTTTATTTGTACATTAAAACCAAATGTGTGACTTGGCTGTTGTTTTATGGTAAATTCAGTTGGAAGTTAAAATAATTCACTCAAAATTTTGACATACAATTTCTTAATAAATTAGATATTTTATACACACACACAACCTTTTAAACTTACAGGAATTGGAAGGTGGTGTGAAATCAGGTGTAGTTAAAATTTTAATTCTCACCCTTTTTGAAGGATGGGGTGGGAATGGGTTTCACATATCCAATTTAAGATTGCTCTTTTGTTGTTTAAAGATTTTCAATGTTTTGATATGCTTCATGTGTTTGTTACTTAAGGGGAAGAGACAGTTTTTAAACGGATGAACTTGAGGTTCTTTTTTTCCTAAGGCTTATGAGAAAATATTTTCCCAGGTTTATAAGAACTTGTTATGTATTTGAAAAGAGATTTCATCAGTCAGGATGCTTTGGGCTACAAGTGGCAGTGGCGGAGGGGTTTCAGGTTAGTCAGTCCAGCAGCTCGGCGGCATCTCCCCGGACCCTGTCTTCCTCCTGTCACCCTCGGCACTGGCTTCGCCCCACGGCTCGTCCCTTGTGCCCACGAAGCACCTGCAGTTCCAGGCACCATCTCCACATGTAACCAACCCGGAGGCAGGAAGGGCCTGTTTTTATGGTGTCTCCTTAGAAGTGAGAAAAACATTTTCCCAAAAGCTACCAAACGGCCCTCTTTCCATTTCTTTTTTACACCCTCTTCTAAATGAATCACTGGCAAAGGAAAGGTGACAACCAGGATTAGTTTAGCTGCGTGTGTCCAAACTTTTGGCTTCTCTGTGCCACATTGGAAAAAGAGTTGTCTTGGGCCACACAGTCAATACACCGTGACACCTAATCACAAAAATATCTCATTATATTTTAAGTAAATGTGTGATTTTGTGTTGGGCCACATTCCCAGCCATCCTGGGCTGCATGTGGCTCACGGGCTGCAGGGTGCATGCCCCAGTGGACCAGGCAGGGTTGACCCTGAGAGCAGGTGCCCGCAGGGCTCTGACGGCCAGGGGGGAAGCTGTGGTGCTCGCTCAGCAGGTGAGCAGCAGTGTTTGCTGACGAGGCAGAATGTTAGTGATGCTCTGAGAAGCTGGCAGTGAAACTTTCTGTAAATTTTATTTGTAAGTATCATAATGTCTAGATTAGGGAAGGCCTTCCTGAAGTAATGAAAAATATAGATGCTCTAAAA